ATTTAGATAATAGAAAACAATTGTGAGTAGTTTTTTTATAGTTATTAATTTAAAAATTTTAATGTTTCCTAGTGAGGAACATTTGACTTATGTCTCTACCTCCCCCTTTAGGGATCTATTTTTAATCATAATTAATTATATGATTAGAAAAAACAAACATTTTCACTATTTAAATGCAAAGGTTGTTATTTCAATAATTCAAAGCTCAAAAGTTGCTATAAGAATCAATAGCAATGTATACTAACTCAACTCCTATTACAATTAGTAAATATAAAAGTGCAGAAAAGTATAAAGTTGTATCTCCAGGTAATAGGAAAATAGTATAGGATAATATTCAATTAATGGATTCCAATTTTTTCTTTAAAGTATAGAGCTTGCTTTAAGAAAAGTTAATATATAATTACAAAACATAATTTTATCAATAATATATCTGGACTCAGTATCAATCACAAAGGCCTTAATCATAAGAAACTTAAGATATTAACAAGAATGATTTTGAGATTGTAGTAGATAATGCAAAAAATTATTCCTTATAATAATCTGTAAATCTATATAAATAGCTTCTTTACAAGATGATATATAGACAGTATGATGAAAATTGAATAGAAAATTTAAATAAAGACAATAACAAAAATTATCAAGTTTTAAGTAGAAATATAAGACATCTTATCTTCAACTTAAGTAAAGCTAATAGCAATACTCATAAAAATTAGTATAGTAAGTACAAATAAGAAAATAAGCATCATTATGAACAATTAAGACTTTATTAATACAATAAAGAAGGCAGTAAAAATAGACAAAACAGAAATTAGAAATTAGAAATTTTAAATAGAAGCCTTATTAATATGATATATGAGTTTATATTAATACAGAACATCTATATTAAGTAAACTAAAATCAAGAATTACTTAAGAAATTAAGAAAATAAGTTAGCAAATAGATTAATAGCAACTATAGTAATAAACAAATATTAAAATCCAAAAGTTAAACTCTAGTAATAATATAACAATACTTAGATAAAACTAGTTATTTATTGACCTCCCTTTAAGACAATAGAAAAAACTCTTCTAAAACTAAATAAATAAGTAAATGAAAAATCTTGAAATGTAATCAGAAATGGCTCTCAGATTAGAATGTCAAAAAAGTAGACTAAAACATGATCATATAAACACTAATGTTATTTAAAGTAATATTATTTCAAATTAATCAAAATAATCATAGAGATAAACCCTTTTGTTGGAAGATATGACTCAATACTAATAAACATGAATACATGAAAGTTATATCTATATAAAAGTTCAATCTATATGATTTTTAAAAAACAAGAAAAAAGAAAATTCTACCTCTTCACCTATGAATTAAATAGAACAAGATTGATAGAAAAGTATATAATTCTACTTATATAGAATGCGTAGTTAGAATAAATGGCAACAAAAAAATTAAACCTATATAGAATAAGTGGAAGCAGTTATTTAAATCACCAATATCAACAGAAGAAATGGATAAGACTAATAGAGTAGAGTAAACATTAGAGGAATTATTATGTATAAGATAATAAAAGTAGTAGAAGAAATTATGGATAATAAGAAGACTATAAATATAATAATAAAGGTAGTTACTACATAGTTTTGATAAGAGAAGAAGAAAGTATAGAAGCTAATATATGAGTTGATTATAGAAAGAATGAAGCCACAAGGAATTTTCAAGAAGATGAAGTGTAATAAAAATAAAAAAAAAACAAGAAAAAGCTGAACAGATTCATTTTAAACTCACTTTTTCTATAAATATCAGTATTAGTAAAGTCATAATATACTAATAATCACCTTTAGATAATCTGTAGCAAGTCGTAAAGTTTGAAAAATATCAAGCTATTAGTTTTTTCTCTATCATAAATGTATTTTCTCACAATTGAATTTGTGTATATAATAAGATATTAATGATTAAATAAAAACTATAAGACATGACTTTACCAGCTATAAAAAATAAAAATAAAAATAAAATTTCAAAAATAAATTAAATAAAAATCAAAAATCAAAAAATAAAATAGAATAAAAAAACTTTTTAAATATAAAAAATATTATAGAAATTATTAATAATTAAATAATTATGAATTATGAATATAATAGTTAAGAAAAGTTAAAAATAAAGTAAAACATTATTTTTCAAATAGTATTTGGAGAATTTATTAATTTTTATGATGAGTAAATTGTTTTGCAATACTAAATATATATCATTTACAATAAAGCAACCATGGATGAAAATTCTATTTATATAATCAATTGAATATTATATAAATATAATTTATTTAATAAATATTGAAATAAAATAAAGAAAACAAGTAACTACAATTATAAATCCGCTATATTATTTCCTGTAATTATTAACCATTATCTCATGCAACTTATAGTTTAATTAAATTCTTGATACTCCGGAGTAACTATATATGGGTTTTAGGAATATAAAAGATTCTTCAAGTTGACCCTTAAATATTGTAACAACTAGAAAAGAAACCGATGTTTAAATGATTGAGTAACATGCAATCAAGGGATTCTCGTCTTAGGTTCATCCCAATGGCAAACAAGAAGACTTGGAACCATGTTACGAAAAAGCCGTTCCTCATTTATTTTATATTTAAAGTGTAACTATGAATGACTAATATAGAACCAGCTAATTTCAAGGATTTTTATATACAAAATGCATTTATTTAATGTCTATAAGATATTTTAACACTATATGTTGCTGTGTAATATTATGACTTGCTGAGCTTGATCTTTTTATGCTTTTCTGAATGTCCTTCTGATTTTTTTGCTTTATTAACTTTGGCTTTTTTAGCAACATTCTTTAATTCCACGATGTTTTTTACTTTCGACAATTGTGTATCGGGTATAGTTTTCTGGTTGCTTGGTGAACTCGTTTTTTTTTTGGGCAATTTTGACTGACTTCTTAGGGCCAAAGGCATATCTTCGCCATTCTCATGTATATCGACGTCTGAATTAACTTCTTGAACTTTGGATACATTCTTCTCGTCAGCTTCCTTGGGAATCGTTGCACTCGGTTTAGCGCCTGCAATTCCGGCTGTGTGATTGGCATTGGGCCGTCTATAAAGAACCCTCAGCAAACGCAACGGAGCGTTTCTTTTTGGGAGCTCCCAACATTGTGGACCCCTATCCTCGCCAAACTTACTTTGAAGAAAGCGTCTAACCGTTAGATCAGAATCACACTCGGCGAGAAACGTGAAATACTGCGCTATTTCGGGTCTATGATGAAGCTCCAAATCGATCAATGCATTTAATGCAGCAATTCTAATTCCCACATAATTACCATACCTATAAAAAAACAACAAAAAAATTATAAGAAACCATGGAAGGTTGAAATGAACTGCGTATTTAAAAAAAAAAAAAATTTTTTTTTTTTACTGTGATTGAAGTAAAAATTCGCGTCCTTCAACCGGAATTATTTGACTTGACATTAAGAAACTTTTTGTCTATCATTAAAACATAAAATAAATAATCAACCACCTTGTAAATTGATGTCGTTTAGAAAATAATATAATATTTTATTACCTTAATCGTGGACATTACGAGTAACGCACGATACGAGTTAAAAAGTTTGTGCCTCGTTAAATATCTGTCCAAAGTCTCTAAAGTTTCTTGCGAATAGGACAGTGATTCGCAATATAAATCAAATGTCTCCACATTAGGGTTATTCGAATTTTGTCCGTCGAATGGAACAATAAAAGCATTTCCCAATGATTCAATGAGATTTGCGACAAAATGATCGTCTGAATACTGAATGTTATCAACGTTAAAAAATTTAGAAACATACTCTAATAAAAATTGATTAAAAGTAAATTACGTAGACGAATACCTCATTTTTCGAATTGTCGTTCCAGCTCAAAAGATTTAATAGAAATTTCTTAATATTATCTGGTGCGTTTCCCATGGCTCCGCGTACACAGGAAAGAGCAAACGGAATTGACTTTGTAAAAATGAGTCTGCATTAGTCATTGTTCGATGGAATGGAAAAAATTAGCAATATCCATGATGGTCACCTTTTGAACGTAGTATTCCTCCCAATCACTAAAATCATTAGGTTTAGGTAGAAACTTTGTTTCATCGCGATAGTCGCAATAATCTTTTTCATAAATTTTGCTTGATCGAAATAATGAGTAGTTGAAGATTTCTCTCTAAATAAATAATTATTTTCTTATTACCTAGAAAATTTAGTGTCCATTATAATAGTTTCATGATTTCTTTGTATTTATTATACTTTATTTAGAAAAATAAAAGAGTTTACATCAATAATTTCTTTTTTTTTATCAATAATATTATTAGAATATATAAATATAATCAATAAAAACTTGCTTATATCTTGCTATCATTATGTTCCATATCAATTAATCAATTATTAAATAACATTCTACTATAAAAAATTTAGAATTAAACTAAAGTATGCAAAATTTCTTGAAAAATAGTAAAAAATAATAAATACTTTAAAAAAATTAAAGATTATATATGAAAAATAAATAATAAGTCTTTTCTTATTATACAGTAAAAACTTTTATCTCCTATTATTTTTAGCTTTAAAAGTAATACTTCACTAGTTAATTCTTTA